TATATATATATATATATATATATATATATATATATATATATATATATATATTTGATTGCTTTTGCATTAGTCGTTGAATTTGTGAAATGAGTTTGTACTTATTCAGTTTATTTTGATTTACTTTTCTTGTATGCTTTCGAATAAATATTTATATATATTAGTAATTGAAAGAAGATTGAAAGATAAATATGAAATATACCACCGCTCTCTCACAGTCGAACTAACCACAGTAACTGTATATATTTTCTATGCATTTGCCCACCACCAACACCACCACAACAACCAACCAAACAACCAAACAACCACTGCCACCGTCAACAACAACAACAACACCACCACCACCACCACCACAATCTGCGTGTGCGTGCGCGCGTGTGTGTGTGTTTGTATGTGGGTGGCTGTGTGTTTGTGTATGTGCGTCGTATACGTCGTCATCGCTGTAATCGATAAACGATAAACTCGCCTTTTGATGTTTCGTATGCTCTCGTTGTCCACATATACCTCAAAATCGATCATCCGATCACCACCCGATCGATATATATACATACATATATGTGCCCACACATATATATATATCTATGTATGTCGATCTGCACAGTGCGCTCAGGGACGGGCCGCCTGGCTGGAGCGCGGCCGTCGCTGCAGCGTCCAGGAGCAGCAACAGCAACAGGCCACCTGCCATCGACGCTGGGTGAAGCGCAATCGAGTAAGTTCATCACGTAGAGCCACTCACATAGCGCCGTGTACATACTCATTAACAACAACCTATATGAATATGTGTAATATGTATGTCTATATTTCCATATAGACGTATATATACAATCACCGATTCACCGATTCACCAATCAGCAATTTGTGCAATTCCTCTTCTCTTTTGATCTCTCGCACACCGTCTTTTCCCTTTCCAAGCGCATTATTTATGTATTTTCTTTTTCTCGATCACACCTCGCTCCCTATCTCTCGCTCTCGCTCTCGCTCTCTTTCTCTCTCTCTCTCTCTTACCTCTCTCGCAAATGTTCAGGGCATTGGACGCCAGGTGGCTTCAGGATTATTCAAACTTATAATAGCCATTAACCATTACTTTGTCAAGCCCCAAAATAAAAAAATAATAAAAAAAAATACATATTTTCACAATAATTAAGATTTTCATGCATCTGATACAGAGCTGAGTGCTGTCCCTATCAACAATAATCATGTAAAATTCTATAAAGACATTGATATATGGGCAATTCCAAATGATAAAGAAATCAAATAATCATATACCAACAAATACTATTATCATTATCTCGCATCGTTAGAGTCTAGCAAATGTGTGTTTGTATAATCTAAGATGTGTTTCATTTCTGATGTCTAGCTGGAAATGCCTATATGAATTGAAATTATAGATATATGGTTATTGATCATTTCTATTACTAACATCCTAAATAGAATCATACGTTATTACTGATCATCAGTTAGAAGTTCACCATTATATATTCATTGGGACAGCACTCGAATATCATTGGATAGACCACTAATAATACATATACGTCTATGCATGCCCATGTGCTTCGCTCGGCAGATCCAAGATGCTTCATTGGGCGGTTCGTCGGACGATGAGGACTTTCTGGGCGTACTACGTGGACCCAGTACCTTTGCGAATGCCTTTCTCTATGTCGGCCTGGGCACCGTTGCCTTGGGTCTGGTCATCGCGTTCGTCGGCACCGGCGAGAAGGGTTTTAAAACAGTGGAACTAAGACTTATAGGGCCCTCTCTAATAGGCAATATAACTGTAGCACCGGTTCTCCATAAAGCAATCCGTCTCAATTGAGCTTTTCCTTATCCAGGTTTGGGTCTAATCTGTTGCATTTTACGCATCCTCTTCTGCATCTGCCCATCCCACTGCATCTCATCCAGCAAGAAGGCCCGCAAGAAAAATGGTAACAAGATCGATGCGGATCACACGACCTCCTTGCTCCGCAACGAGAGCAAACGCGTTTCCATAGCGCGTGGACCCTCCATTCAGGTAAGTGTCAAAAACGCACTGCGATAAGCTCAAGTTATGGAAATCTGTTGCGAAATAAACAGACTTAGCATATATATATATATGGGAAAAGTAAATGAACTAAATAAAAATCCCACTTACTATTCATCCTGCTGCACGGTAGTAATCCATTTTATCTGATGAAACCTAAAAACTTTCATAGATGTCCTAATTAGACGAACATTATCGGTATTCTACCAAGGGGTTTATAGCAACATATCATCACTTATTAATTAAATTTTCTATCCATTGTCTTCAGCTATTTTGAAGGATTTTGGTTTTTTATACGGTGTTTGTATCCACACTGTTTGCGTTAGTCATTTGAGATTCCATTATGTTTGACTTATGGCTCACGCTTGATCAGTGGATAGTGTCGAGCTCTGCCATCAATATATAATCAAGTAAGAAGGCTCTAGTCGAGACTGCTCGAGTAGGAGTTCCCCTGAACCCTTCGAGCAACTGATATTTCAATAATTCTTTGCTTCTTTCTTCTTACACAAGAAACACACACACTCACAGACACACATATGCACGCACGCATAAACATGCATGGGCTGCAGTGTGGGTTTACTATGGGAATTTAATTGTCTAATAACTTTTCTTGTGAATGTAATTTCTGCATAAAACTTTAAGGTTGTGATAATATTATTAAAATGCGTACATTTGCCAAAGCACAGGCCTCTAGTATTTGAAATACGCTCTTTACGGATTTGAAGACTATAGCTTTAAAGATGTAGAAGATATAATTATATTACTGATTTTCGAAAGGGTTTTTAATTGATAACACATCTACATCTACGGTCTAAAAAAGGTCAAGTGTCTAGCTCTTATGTCTTCTAAGATCGACGCGTTCAAACGGACTGACGGACGTACGGACGGACATTCAGGCGGACGGACCAAATCGACTCTGCTCGTTGGCCTGATCAAGAAAATGTATTCTTTGTTTTGCCTGTTGCATACTTTTCACTAAAGCATTATACCCAGATTTCTGGTTTTCAATGGGCTAAGCGTAAAATACGCAATAGTCTAAATATTCAATGGAGAGTAATAATTTACTGAAGATCTTGTCTTATTTGTTTTTGCCTTCTTTCAGCCAAAGTACCCTATTGCACACAAGCGCAGTCAGAGCAAGATGCTCAATGAGGGAATGGAGGCACTGCGTCAAATTGCAACCACATCGCTCTTCATGCAGAACGAACAGAAGACGGCCATAAACCGCGTGGTGCCCATTATAAACGAGCCGGAGAGCATGGATCATATGGGAGGTGAGGGAATGAAAAAAATAATTTATCTACTTAAATCTATTCTACTGTTAATTTCACAGCAGATGCGCCGCTCGAGATGAAGAAGCTGCAAACGGCGCTGAATATGTGCGAGATGAGTGATGAAGAGCGGGAGGAGCATGTGCAGCAGTCTGCTAAACGTACAGCTGCAGCAACTACAGCAACCACAACAACAACTGCCGTTACGAGTAGTACCACCAAAGCGACAAAAGCAACAACCCTGGGCACCGTGGACGAGCGACCCAATAGCAAATTGTCGCGCCAACGCGTTGCCCTGCAACAGCAACGCCAGCAGTCGGAGCAACAGTTGCAGCAGGACGTGCAGCACACACAATTGGAGCAGTCGCAGTCATTGTCCTCCTCGTCCACTGTCCGAGACTCACTCGATGCCGTCGTCGTTGTGGAGGAGACCTCGCTCATGGACGCGCCCACGCCCACAGTGGCAGCCAAGCCTCTGCCCCCGCCCGCAACCCTGCCCAGCAGCAGCAGCAGCGGCGCCATACCCCGGCTCAAAAGCTCAACGGCAACATTCAGTGAGACTCGACAGGGCATCTCGACGGGCGCCACGCCCAAAACAACGCCCACCACCACCACCAGCAACAGCAGCAACACCTACAACACACGCCTCACCAGCTCCCAGTCGCAGCCGATGAGCTACGACCTGCCCCCAGCGCTACCGCACACCTATTCAGCGACAGCTACGGTGCGTGGTCCTCTGGGCATGACTCTAACTGGCTCCAGCAGCGCCTATGGGTCGCCTGCCAGCCGCACCACTGCGACCACGACGACGATCAGTTTGCTGCCGCTGCCAGCGCCGCCAACAGCTGCAGCAGCAGCAGCTGAAGCAGCAACAACCAGCATACCCGGCCAGGTGCTGGAGCCTCAGTCAAGGATGGCCACAACAAGTCTGAGCATATTGCAGCCATTGCACAGGCCAGCGACGGCCCACTCGTCAACAGCCACAGCAGGAGCCGGAGCAACAGCTAGAGCGACGTCAGCGGGTCACAAATCACAGCCGTCATCCGCCAGCCTCACAGCGGAGCGTGGCAATCAGCTGCTGCTGCTGCCCAGCAAACTGGAGCCGGAGCTAGTGCTCAGTCCCTCAAAGCTGGGCCAGTAAAACAAAATATTAGTTAGGATTTCATGCAGCCACACATAGCCTATATATATACATATATGTATACATATACATATGTAGGTCTGTATGCCTGTGCGTGTGTGAGTGTATGTGCGAGTGCGAGTGTATGTGTGTGTGTGTGTGTGTGCGTATCTGCAGCTACATAGCACTCTATTTTGAATGTGCCACAAAAAAATTGAATGGAAATACCAGAATATGCCACATAAACGCCCATCAGTCATGCTCCGATATATTGCCTCCTTTTCGGAATGCATTTTATAGTATACCCGTGACTTTTGACTTTTCTAAATTTCTCTGTATTTCCGGGCATGACTAAAACCCTTATAAAAAGCTTTCAGTGTCTATTTTCCGATTATTAATGTATAATAGATCTATATATTTTAACAATTTTCGTATATGTATGTATATCTATGCATATACATATGTATATGTAGTATATTTCTGTATGGCAGGTGCTCAGCTAATGATAAATTTGCCTAATTGACATTTCGCGCGCTGTCTAAAATCTAAAACCTTAATTAGCCAGTCCAGGGTATTATAAAGTTTGTATACCAAACATATCGTTACAAAAAAATATACAACAAATAATAGAAAATATTTATAAACAAAACAAAATGAAACGAATAAAATGAAATCGATACCGAACTAAAAGAAAAAAAAAAAAGAAAGCCGTCGTCCAGTTGATCAACTAACATAATATCCATACAGAAATAGCTAATTCTTCGTACATGGCCAGTGTAGAAGCGAACATTATACACAAATATATATATATATGTATGTGTATATAACATGTATGTATGTGTCACAAATTAGATTTGTACGCAGCCCGAAATTGAATGTCGATGCTTGAATGCAGCGGATGAAAATCGATTAACATAAACATATATTTAGAACAGAAGGCCCAGATCTAACAGAGATTTTAGAAATGCATGTGTCAGATTAAGTTAAATGACAGCTCTTAAGCAATACAGTCAATGGTCTGTATGCAAGCAGATACCCGTTTTTACTCTGCCTAATCGCAATGCAATAACTAAAATTTAAGAAATTACTTATGTTTTTTACATTTACTCGATTTTATGATCAATTCGTTTTTCACTTCTTAAGGCACTTTTTTAAGAGCATCAACTAATGCAACTTTGGAACAATAAATCCGAAAGTAATCAAGATTAGGAATCATCAAATGTAACAAACAATCGGATATAAAAAGTAAGAGCAAAGCAAGAGCTGCGAAAATGGGCAAATGAAAAAAGCAAAGCCTGTAAAACGAACGAAAGAAACGAAAAACAGATGAAGCTAATAGAGAACTATAATGAAAACAATATATGAATTAGTATGTATGTCAGTATATGTATGTGCAGAATAAAAACCAAATACCTAACTCACAAGTCTTCACATATACAATTTTTCTTTTAGCAGTACTTTCAAATGGGAATCATCTTAACGGCAACTGCAATTGCTGCCTAGCCACTGTTAGACTCATTCAATCACTCAATCGCTCTGGTTAACATTAAAAAGTTCTGCTACTTAGCAGCCGACAGAGATGAGCCTGTTAACTTTCGATAAGTCTGTACATTACCAACATCACTCAAGTGGTTATGCAAATAGCAGTTCTGTTAACTATCCATGTTAGCTGTTCTGTTCGTTGCATGTGTTATCCTTTTTAAAATTTTGGCGCGCACTTAAGCAAGTTCCTACATTTTTAAAGCAATTAAACTAAAAAATGTAAGGATAATTGGAATCGGCAATCTCGATAAGGACGATAAACTATTAAAAGTATCAAGTTAACACCTCTTCAAGGATGCAACCAAAATAATAATTCGCTTTTTTTATTATAAATAAATTCCTGTTGATGGGCGTAGCGAACTGCATTGAATATTTCGAACAGAATTGTCATCCCATATCTGTTATGTGAACAAGCTATAATAGGGCAGAAGATCCATAATATAAACGCAAGTATTGAAATGTTTGTATTACTATATTCATGCATTCCATTTTGTATATGTTGAAATTTTGTTGTGTTTGCCAAAGTTCAGTTTTACTTACATATACATATAAATATTTATATATATGCATATGGTATAACGTAGAATTGAAATATTTCAGTATACTAAGAGTTTATTGGAGGCGTTTAAATGGGGCTCACGCAAGCTACTAAAAAGAGGATTTCGATTTTATCTGCACACTTACATATATGTGTTTGTGTTATACATATCAAAGGATCTACTACAACAATAATATCAGTATCAGTTAGTTATATATTTTTGTGTACCCATTACCAAACATTTCTTTTTGTCTCATTTCAGTCTTGCCTTGTCACACGACTTGGCTTCTCAATACATCATCATTATACTTATCATCATGATCGATTAAATGTTACACATTGTGAATAATACCTATAATTTGGGAGCAGCATCCAAGAAGTGCTTGGAGTTCACAGATATTTATATACATATATCCTGAACTATTTTATATTAAGTTTGTTACTTTTCTCTTTGTGGGTTTTGTTGACATTTAAAGAACTACTAATGTTTGAATTCTAAATTGATTAATTGCCATTTCTAGGGATTAACGTAGACACCGAATAAAACATGATTACTAAATCTTTAATGTTTGTGTTTCATCAAACATTTATACATATACATATATATTTATATATATTGTATATGTATACATGAATCAATTTTTCTTTTTAAAATTGTGGTCTCTATTGAAAAAATGTAGTATTGCTTCTCCATGGATCTCGGAACTTGATCTTAACTCGGTTCATAATTATCTTAGCTGCTTCAAAAGGCCAACGGGCGGCATTTAGGGCGCTAGGTTTTCATTTTGACCAAAAAACTATCCTTACATATTTGTCTTTAACGCCTTTTCATTTAAAAATCCCTGAAAATTGCTTTTGCTTAGCTTTCGAAAAATTCTTAACCTTTATAATCTTTTTAGATGACATTAAATATGTATTGTATGTTTCACATTAAAGCAATGTTTGTTTCTTATCTCCTTATCCCGTTCTTCATAGTCGAATTTGTGAATTTTATATATGTATATATATATATATATATGTATGTGTGTGTGTGTACATACATACAAGTGAATACGTACAAGTGCTCTAAAAGCAAATTCAAAGCCGCGTTTACTTAACTAGATTAAATAATCTTTAAGACATTGATTTATCACACCAATTTGTATACAGATGTATATATATACATATACATATATATGCATATACCATTTACAGATATATATGCTGGCGGGTAGTTTTTTATATAGATACAAATCCTATATTTACTATTAACTCTCTATTCACACAAACATACATTGTATCACCCTTGCGCTACAGTGAAGCCTGACTTAGTATCTACCAACAAAAAAGCCACTATGCAATGTCCAAAGTATTATATCTAAACGTACGCTCTTTCTAACTGTAGTATTACAGAGGTTTCTCTCAGTTTCGTAAACGCATCCAAACTGCATTTAGCTGAATCGGCTTTACAACTAGTATCATAGCTTTTTTGTGAGTATTGCTTTAGTTTTTACAGGGTTTTCATGATCGTAAATACATATCTTATATGTAGTCTATATATACTAAATATTGAAGCGTATTTACAGTTGATTGTGGCTGCAGTTGTTCATAAAAAAGAGACTGAAAACAAAAATAGTATTAAATCACAGTTGCGAAATAAAATACAACTGATACTCAAATATTAGTTTCAAAGGAAAAACATGATTGTTTCTTTTGTAAATCATAATTTATGCTTGTATTAAGTGGACATAATCTTAAAATGTAGATATCCATACAGAAATCAATCAATCGATAACTATTGGTTTTCAAATCGAAATTAAAGTAAAATCTTTGCTAAATATTTTTTTTTAAATAAACGAAAATCGATAAATTTGCATATCTTTCAGCCAGGCCGAAACGCTCGCACAGTGAGGCATGTCTTATAAAATATATATCCATATGAATGCATTTAAATATATATCTAGTATATATATATATAACTGAGGACTAGAACATAATTCATTTGAGACTTCTAACCAGTTATTTACCACTCAAAAAAAAAAAAAAAAAAAAAAAAAAAATAGTAATAATAATAATAATTAGCATAAACGGACAAACAGACAAATTATTACAACTGTTATATACAGAAAATTTAGAGCATGCCGTACCGCTATTGCCAAAAAATAGAGGATATATCTATGTGTATATATTGAACAGAGCGACAAATACGAGAGATCGTTTAAAAATGGACCAAAATGAGGTTAGTCCTTAAATTGCAAGCTATATATTACATAAGCATAGAAAATATACCCTACAGATATATATAAATATATATATATATATATATAATATATATTTATATATATATATATATTTATATACTTATATCTACGCATATGTATATATAGCGCTTCTGATTTGATTTGACTTGTTGATTGCCTACAAGCTAATAATACCTTAGGTTTTGCGCTAAGATTTCTACACATGATATATCTAATATCTAAGCATATAGATCATACATTTAATTAGTTTTATATGTATGTACGTATCATTTGTGTGTGTATATGGTATATATGATATTTGTTAGTAATGTATACAGTTGTATAATATTGCAAGTTTTCAACATTCAGTTTCATTTGACATTTTATGCGTATGTTTCGAGTGTATTTCATTAAGCTTATATACAATACAAATTGCTTGTCTTCCATTCCTTATATAATATAATATTACAAATTGAGTTGTCATTTCTTGATCTCATTTTTTGTTTTGTTTTGTTTTTTTTTCGTGTATTTTAGATATAGTCTGTGGAGCGGGCGGGGTGGGGCGTAGCTGCTTATAAAGCAGAGAAAAACCTTCTTCAATTGAATGACAAGTTTTTCGCTTACAATTACAATCTACTCAATAATACATAAGATGGATCAAATCCATAAGAAACAATGAAAGGAATTCAGTACTAACAAAAATGTAAGTATTAAGTATATATTATTTGACAATTACTCTGAAATGTTCTTCTAATGTTTTTAACCAAAATATATAAAAATATATATATTTTTTTTTTTTGGTATTTTCAAATTTTTGTTTAAATATTCATATATTCAGTTGCATTTAAAATAGAAATTTAATTAAAATGGAATTTATAAAGCTTTTACATTCAACTATTCACTTTCCAAAAATATAAACTTTGTTTAATTACAATTCCACTTTCGTGAACTTTGAAGATACAAAATATTAAATTCCTTTCAAATGTTCTTTCAATTATTCCAAACAAAGTATTTCAAAGAATCGAATTAGAAAATCATTAAAAATATATAGTCCTTCCACAAATTGACTTATTTATTGTATTATTTTTATGTATTTATTTTTTTGTCTTCACCAAGATGCTTTCGATTTTTCTTTTTTTGCACATTTCAGTATTTGTTTTTTGTGACTTGTTTGAAACAATACCATTCTGTTCATCTTGAAAATACTCTCCTGTCCTATTTGGGTAATTCTACACTTATTTACTATGTGGGTCTTTCTAATGTTGCCTGCACTGCAGAACGTTTGCTCCACACGGGTTGTTTATATACAATAATGATATATATGTATAAATACTACTTCTCAGTTTTGTTCGCTTAACGAGTTAATTTAAATAATGTATATATATATATATATATATGTATATAGAATTCGCATTGTCCTTTCACATTCAGAATAACCCCTGGGCGCCGGCTAACCGTTGCCTCCGAAATCACAAGAATCATCATTTGAGCGTATTGTATATGTTATCCTCTCCAGCTAGTTCCACGGTGGTCACATGCTGCTCCCCGAGTGGCTCCTCGCCTAGGTAGACGGTGTGGTAGCTAATCGAGGTATTAGCAGTGGGGCAGTTAATCTCAACCCGACTGACAGACTGCGATCCATTCGGCAGATATTTGAGTGAGGCGTAATCTCCATCATCATCCACTGAATCCTCTCTATCCTCTCCTTTATCGTCGTGGTGCGGCGGCAGCTGTGTCAGCCGCGTGGTGCCCGGGAAGCCATCGCAGGTGTGCGATGCGCAGATCTCGGCATAGATATTCTCCTTGGCGTGGTCCACGGCGGCAGTTAAAGTGGGCGCTGGCTCCCTCTGCTGCTCCGCGCTCTCCAAGCTGGACATGATCAGAGAATCACGTACACTAGAGTAGGGCAGATCGTCTTCCACCAGCGATGTCGGTGAAACCAGCGCTGCAGGCGAGAGGGCAACTAAGCCGCCCAGCAAAGAAACGCGGCCAGCTGCACGGCGTCCGGTGACGGGCTCCTTGGCCAGCTGGAGCTGTTGTTGGGCCCGGAACTGCGTCTGGCTGCGCTTCTCGGGCTCCGATTCGTGCAGCTGCATCTTTTGGGGCAGCGAGAAGTGTCGCAGCTGGTGCAAGCTGCTGGAGGACTTGCTGTACTGCCGTGTCTTCACATGAAACTCATTGTAGAGCTTCTCGGTGATAAAGGATTGTGGCGGCGGCGTCTGATTCTCCACATCCTCCAGCTCATTGCCAGCCTCGCTGATGGCATCCGTGTGCGCTGCGAGAAGATCAGGTCGTTGCTGACCGCGCTGCCCGTTCAGCAACTCAATGTCCTGCAAGGACATCGACTTCTGCAGCAGCGTGTCCAGAGACTTGGGCATCGAGCTGCGTTCCATGCTATTGCTTAAGGTTGTAGTCTCCGTTTCGCTGTGCAGCGATTGCGTGTCAGCTGAGGCAGCAACTGCTTCCTCATTGCCGAAGCGCTCCTGCAACAGCTTGGACATATCCGTATAGCGTTCCATGCTCAAGCGCTTGGCCTGCACATCCAGCTGCAGCTCCGTCTGGGACTTATCCAGCTGCTGCTGCTGCTGCTGCTGCTGGTGCTGGTGCTGCTGGTGCTCCTGCTTGCGAAACCATTTCTTTTTGGTGGACTGAAAGACCTTCATGCGCTCTGTAATACGATTTGGTGTGATTTGAGTGGATGCCTCGCTGCCTGCAGCAGCTGCTGCGGCCGCCTCCTTAGCCTCCAGTTGCTCCAAGTCCGTTTTGCTCAGAAATATGATGGAGTCCTCCTTCTCATGAGCCGACGTGGCCGCCATGCTGCTCTTCTCGCGGCGCAGCAGCTTGGGCAGATGCAAAGGCTTCAATATCTTGAGACCTTCGCGCGTTTTGCTGCCTGAGCGCTCGTTGGGCTGCATCAGCTCGATCTCCACCAACTTGAGAAACTGATCGCAATTGAATTGGCAAAACTTGAGCATGTTTTGCACCTGGGCATTGGCCAGCATGCGCTGCTCCGTATCGAAGCCAAGTAGACTCTTGGTAAGCTGCATCTCCCGGCTGACGTAAAGTTTGCGCAGCTGCAGCTGCTGCTGCGGTTGCACCTGGCCATGTCCGTCCAGCTCGTCCAGCGGGCAGCCAATGATGACATCCTCCCGGCTCACACGACTTATGCACAGCTGCTCGGGTATCTCAGCGCCAGCGGGCCCCGAGATGTAGCGCAGCGTTAGAGGCAACTGCTTGGCCGCTGCCACCAAGGCGCCTAGTCGATATACACACTCCGGATTCAGCTTACGCTGCGTGTCGCCCATCTTTTGGAGCAGCTGCGGTATGCCCGGCTCGATCTCGTAGAACTTCCCTTTGGTAGCCAGCGGCACATACATCACCTGCCTCTGCTCGTTCAGCAGCTGCGCATAGCGGCCCTTCTCCTTGTCCCGGCCAGCTATTAAATTCGACTTGGAAACGCTGTTCAGAGCATTCGCATGATGATGGTGCTGCTGCATCCCATGATGCTCCTGCTTTCCGTCCTCAAAGACAGCGAGCAGCTTAAACACCTGCCCTCCCCTCGCCGTCGTCTTCACGTACTGCGGCCTCTGCTTGATGCTGGGCAGGCAACCCTCATGGGTGGGACTAGTCGCCCCGTTAGCACCCCCGGGCGGGGAGGACTCTGTGAAGGCGGGCATATTGTCCACCGAGGCAAACTTGTAGACGCGCTCGCGCACCAGCTGCATTAGCGAGACATACTGCGTGGCTGTCGGCAGTCCCTTTTCGTTCAGCAGCGAGAAATACCCTGTAAACAATTAGGTAAATTAGAGTCGCTTTACATCCATTTCAATACAATCTGTAGTCGAGTGTGTAGAGGTAGAATACACCAGGCATTTACCTTAAACAGCTCTCATATATACACAGATAGGTAAGCTAAGAGAATCTGAGGAGACTGCAGTTTCCGTGGGAACACAAACCCAGTCAAGCCACTGTGGCTCAGCTTGCACTTGTTGTTACTAATTATTCAGTTATATAGGATAAGACTCAGCATCCTTAATCGCTAGAGCTCTAGCAAGGGCACGCTACTTGTATATATCAGATTCTGTAACTCAATGACTCTGCTTCGGCGTGATGGACTGCTTAGACTGTGATGGACAGGTCCTATAAATGGCACAGTGTTATGGGGGCTTACCTTCAGCTTAAAATAACTATGCATAACTATTTATAAGGCTCTGTCTTTGATGGCTGTCTGCTTCAGAAATTATTCTAACAAAAAATCACGCATTTGCAACATGTTTAAAGTTGGGGTAATTATAATTGACTAGCGAATTCCTTTATATAAAATAATTTAATTTAATTTAATTTTTGATATATAGAAATATCATTTAAAGTAATATAGGCAAATGAATTTACAGCTCATTTCGTTTGGTTTTATAGAAATCAAATAATACATAGATCTAAAGTTCTTAATTGCTATTCGCTTTGCTACCGTTGTTGGCGATTGCCCACTTTCAGAGCTACTGCAATATCTGATTAGACACTCGTTTTTTTGATTATTTTTAATTTTTTA